GTGGTGGTGGTGGCGGTGGCGGTGGCGGTGGCAGCCCCGCATCAGACTCCAGATCACAGTTCAGATCTTGATCTTAGGGTTGTGGGTTCAGGCCCCATGTTGGGCTCCACCCGGAACCTACTTTAAAAAATAAATAAATAAAAAGGTAAACTACTTAGCGGGAAGGAATGCGGGTTACATGGGGATCTGAATAACAGAGTATCTGATATCAAGTAGGCAAATATTTATTAATACCATCTACTCGTTCAGTCTTTGTGACATTCCCGGACATGACACTTAACTGTCTGTCTTAGGGTTCTTAACTCTTTTTTTTTTTTTTAATTAAAAAAAAATTTTTTTTGAAGATTTATTTATTTGACAGAGACACAGCAAGAGAGGGAACACAAGCAAGGGGAGTGGGAGAGAGAGAAGCAGGCTTCCCGCAGAGCAGGGAGCCCCATGTGGGGCTCAATTCTGGGACTAGACCCCGCGATTATCACCTGAGCTGAAGGCACTTAACGATGGAGCCACCCAGGGACCCCAACTCTTTTATTGTTTAATTAATGAATTACTTTATTTGTCAGAGAGAGAAAGAGAGCACAAGCAGGAGGGAGAAGCAGGCTCCCTGCTGAGCAAGGAGCCGGATATGGGTCTTGATCTGAGGACCCTGAGATCATGATCTGAGCTGAAGGCAGACGCTTAACAGAGTGAGCCACCCACGTGCCCCAGGGTTCTTGACTCTTTATTGAAAGACAACACACATACAGAAAAGAGCACAAGTCGTAAAAACACAGCTTGATCACACAGCTTTCACACCCTTCAAGAAACACAGTGTGACCAGCCCCCGGAAGCTCCCTCCGTGCTCCTGACTGTTCTGCCCCCAATCCCCCCACCCCACCACGGGGACCCATTCTCTAATCAAAACACTTGGTTGTAAATGGCAGAAACTGAACTCACGCTGGTTTGACAAATAATGGAGCATTTTCCCCCACTGGGAAGTCTATGAGGGAGTCTGGCCAGCTGAATCGCATGCTGCCAGCCACTCACAGGCTCTCAGACTGTCCTCTGCTCAGTTGTCTTCTATGTTGGCTTATACCCAGGCAGTTTCCCTCTTCCCTGCAGATCTACAAATATCTTGGGATTGGACTTGGGGCAGATGCCATTGCTAAGCCCACCACTAGGTCAGGGGATAGTGTATAGAATAGAAAGATGAACGAGGCTGGAGACACCCAACTCCCTAGGAACCACGATGTGGGCAGTCAGCCCCACGCAAACCACATTCAGTTGGTGTGAGCGAGGTCGGTTCCTCGAAGAAAAATCTCGAGGCCCTTAGCAGAATAGGAGGAACAAGTATGAGTGGATCCAAGCCAACCCTGTCTATTGCAACAACCTGTTGCAAGACTGAGCTCCACACGGGGTGCCTGGGAACAGACTCGCTCACTCGCAGAATAACCATAGTCTTGACCCTCAAGGTGCTCACAGGCAAGAAGGGGAAGCAAAGTGTCACTGGGGGAGGAGGTACATGCCTTGAGAAACACACAGGTGAGGTGACTTAGAAGGAAGCTAGGATGACTCTTGGGGGGAATCAGGGCTGCGCACTTAGAGCAGAGGGGAACATGGAATAACGATTCCAGGTGACCTGACACACAGGGCACTGGAGGGGAATTCTGGGATGTGAGGTAAAGCCAAAGGTTGCTGAGAAGGAGAATGACAGGATCAAATATGGTGTAGGCAGCTCTGGAGGCTCTGTGCAATATGAAATGCAAGGAGACCAGCTGGGGGATTTTTCCAGAATCCGGGAGAGAGTTATGCATGGCAGGACTAGCCCCACCCTCCCCTGGCCCTGGATAGTTGGGTCACTCGCTCGCTCAACTACCATCTGCTCCCTTGGCCACTTCCTGGGTGTGCCTTTGAGGTTCCTAGCTAGATTGTCACCCCTGCTAGGATAAAGGCTTTGGACTTGGACCTCTTAGATTGATCATTTTGCTTTCTTTCTCCTCTTTTATCTCTTTTCCATCTTTTATCCATCATTGATCTTTTTGTTCTACCCTCTCTACTTCTTCAATTTTATCTTTCAACCTACAATTTTAATCTCTAGGGCAGTTTAACTCCAGGGAAAACAAAGGGTTATACAAGAGAGGAAAGGGGCTTCTAGCACACTGTGTGCTTCAGCTGTGTGCTGGTTTACGAATGGTGTCCGTTTTAAATATTGACTTTACTACAAGGAAACTTTCAGTTACGGGACAAAGCCCACTCCATAAAGTGGTCCTGGGTAGTAGGGTAGTAGGGAACTTTCTGTTCCCTCTTTAGTTTCCTTGTACTTTATACCCACCCTCCTCCCCAAAAAGATGGGATTATTTTTATCACTATCATCCAAGACTTGGTGGAAGTTAGAGGCAGAGTTGCTCTAAGGAGGACCTAGGGGAGGCCTAGGGGCAGAGAATGTCACTTCCCTTTGATTCAGTGGCCCTTGAGCTCTGGTGTGGGGTTGTGTCTGCCAAAAGATGGGCCCCCCTTTCCAATTTTCACAAAGAAGACATGAGTTCATGATGACCTCATCTGTACCTCTAGAAGTTTGCATCTGTTGAAAAAATGAAACATAAGTAATATATATATACCCCCAAAGGAATTTTATTTATTTTTATTTTTATTTATTTGACAGAGATCACAAGTAGGTAGAGAGGCAGGCAGAGAGAGAGAGAGAGGAGGAAGCAGGCTCCCTGCTGAGCAGAGAGCCCGATGCGGGGCTCGATCCCAGGACCCCAGGATCATGACCTGAGCTGAAGGCAGCGGCTTAACCCACTGAGCCACCCAGGCGCCCCCTCCCCCGAAGGAATTTTTTTTTTTAAAGATTTTTATTTATTTATTTGACAGAGAGAGATCACAAGCAGGCAGAGAGAGAGGAAGGGAAACAGGCTCCCTGCTGAGCAGAGAGCCCAATGCGGGGCTCGATCCCAGGACCCTGGGATCATGACCTGAGCCGAAGGCAGAGGCTTAAACCACTGAGCCACCCAGGTGCCCCCCGAAGGAATTTTAAAATGAAAAAATTTATAGGGGAATGGCCTAGGCCTTCCAAGATGGGGGACTTCATTGGGGGAAAGGCTTACGAATGAGACCTACCCCAGAGCTCTACTCTGGGTGTCTGGCATTTGCATTTAAACTTCTGCCCTAGGGGCGGGCACCTGGGTGGCTCTGTCAGATGAGCCCTTGACTCTTGATTTCAGCTCAGGTCATGATCTCATGTTGTTGAGATCAAGCTCCGAGTCAGACTCTGTGCAGCCTGTGGAGCCTGCTTAAGATTCTCTCCCTCCCTCTCCCTCTGCCCCCACCCCCCTGGCCCGCTCCTGTTCTCTCTCTCTCTCTCTAAAACAAAACAGAACAAAAAGTATTCCTATCTCTCTGCCCTGTCCTCAGTGAGTATTCGTATCTCTGAGCTTCACTGCCTCAGTTAAAGCAGGTGGGGCACCTGAGTGGCTCAGCCCGCTGAACGGCAGCCTTCAGCTCAGGTCATGATCTCAGGGTCTTGGCACCCAGCCCTCGCCCTCTCCTTCTGCCCCTCTTCCTCCCCCTGCTTGTGCTCTCTCTCTCTCTCAAATAAATAAATAAAATCTTTATAAATAAATCAGATGGAGGTAATTTCTACCTCCCATGAATGTTGGGAGGATGCAGTTCAATCACGAAGATAAAACACTTATCCTGGTGTCTTCCTGACCTGCCACTGGGTATCCTGTACCCTAGGCTCCTTATCAGAAAACTCTCCCATAGGACTTGGACCTCTTCAGGCACTCTGCATGGGGTTGCGTGTGTCAATCCTCTTCTTAGTTCTCCAGCTCCAATAATAGGATCAGATATCAGTTCTGTGTTGTGTGAGTTACCTAAGAAAACCTCTGGTTTCCCTGGAAGGCAGGTAACACACACACACTGGTAGCTTGCGGTCAGGATCCTCCGTTGCCAGGAAAGGGATAGGCTGGCCAGGGCAGCTGTGTTTGGGCCCAACACTGGGGTCCCCAGTGCTCTGCAGGATTTCCCAGAAATGGGAGAGGCCAGCTGACTGTAATCAGAAAGTGCCAGGAACTTAGAGATGGAAGTCCTGGGTCGAGGGTCCCTCTTTCCCTGTTGTCTCTCTGAGCCTGGCATCCTTCACGTAAAAAATGGAAACCATAATGTCCACCAAATGGAGCCATTGAGTGAAATCCTCACATCTAGCCCTTGTGGTTCAGGAGGCAGAGCTGCTGGGTGACCCCTGTCCACTCCGGCAGCCTCTGGAAAAGTGGGATCTGCTCACAGTTTAGACCTGCCTTCTCCTGGAGGTGACATGGGCAGGGAAGGGGCTTCGAGGGGAGCAAATGCTGTGAAAGCAAGGAGGATATTTCAGGCCCCCGCCCTCCCAAAGCAGCTCTTCCTTGGGATCGTGGTAAAAGCAACAGGTGCAAGGAGGGAAGAAGTCTGGGACCTCGGGGTGCACAAGCTTGGCTCTGCATCCCTTTTACTCTGTGGGACAAGTGTGATATTCTTAAGATCCAGTAAAGGACCCTGGAGGTGGGCTCAGGAGATGCTGGGATTCCCAATGTGGGTGACCTCAGAGTGCCTTATCCAGGTGGAGACCTCCCCTGGTGCTGCCTCTCCCAACACAGCACCAGCCACAGTAGCCCTGGGCCAATGTATGGCACTAGCAAGCCTTCTATCATGTGTGTGTTCTAGCAGCTTCTTCATGGTAAAGCCCAAGAGGCTGGATGTTACCATCCTCATTTTGCAGAGGAGGAAACCGAGCCTTGGAGAAGTCAAGTCACTTGTGCCCAGCTCCTAAGTGGCATCAGAGGGCTCACTGCAGCCCTCTCGCCTCCACCCAGCAGGAAACACCATCAGTTCACACCAACTTGAAAAAATGTGCTCAGGGGCTGGGCTGCTCTGTTCCCACCTGCAGGGGACTTTCTGTCCGTCTGGGAATGCAAAGCCCTCCCACTGTGCAGGGACGTCTCCTCCTGTGAGACTCTGACCCAGCGTCTCTCCTGCTTTCTCAGGCCCTGAAAAATCTGCAGACATCGTCCATGGATTGTGATTGAGGTGGGCAGCTCTCCCAGCAGCCCTGAGCTATGTGAGTAACCTCAGCATGGAAAAGGGCAGATGGGGGCCAGGAGCCTGCCTGCCGTCCTCTCGCCCTTTACTACTGCTTTCTTCTGCACATTCCCACAGCTCCAGAAGGGTTCCCTCCCTCTGCAGTTCATGCGTCCTGTAGCACTGGACTCCCTGTAGATAGCAACATTTGGGGTGTCCTATGTCCTTTACTTACTTTTAATAATAGAAGCTGCATCTGCTTGCTTAAAAGAAGCCAGACAGGGGCGCCTGGGTGGCTCAGTGGTTAAAGCCTCTGCCTTTGGCTCAGGTCATGATCTCAGGGTCCTGGGATTGAGTACCGCATCGGGCTCTCTGCTCAGCAGGGAGCCTGGCTCCTCCTCCTGTCTCTCTCTGCCTGCCTCTGCCTACTTGTGATCTGTCAAATAAATTTAAAAAAAAAAAGAAGAAGAAGAAGCCAGACAACCGAGAAGCACACTGGGCAGAAAGGGCATGTTATCCCTTATGGGAGTTAGGATATGCCCCGACCCCCAGGCTCATTCCATTACTCCAATACCAATACTAATCCCCTTTTTACAGATGGGTAAACTGAGTTACAGACAGATGAAGCGTGTGGTCCGGGATCACAGGCTAGAAAGTGGCTGAGCCTGGTGAGGGAGTCCAATCACCCGTCAAGCTGTTGAGCTAAACCTAAAATTGTCTCCCTAAAAAGAATTCTGAAGCAAAAGGTGGGAATTCTATTTTAAAAATAATATTTCCCTCGCCAGAAAAAGAGAGAGAGAGAGAGAGAGGAGGGGAAGAGGGAGGGAGAAAGTAAGGACAATATACATTTCCAAAGACATTCTGCAACGGGCCTTTTGCTCTGCATAGACTAGGTTTTGGTAGACGTCTTAAAGTCCTATTCCCCGGAGACTGCCCTAGCGAGATGGCCATAGTCCAGGTTGGGGAGGACGCCCCCATCTGGCGGGTGGTCAGAGTGGGGGTTGGGGAGGGAGGGGACTGCTCCCTGCAAGGCGTTGGCGTGTGGCAGGGCGAGTCCCTAACGGCTGCCCTCTCTTCCCGCAGGCCCCCAGCGAGAGGCATGTGGCTGCCGCGCGTCTCCAGCACGGCGGTGACCGTGCTCCTGCTGGCGCAGACCTGCATCCTGCTTTTCCTGGTCTCCTGGCCCAAGCCGCCGTCCCCAGCCGGCGGCAAAGAGCGGGTGCACGTGCTGGTGCTGTCCTCGTGGCGCTCGGGCTCGTCCTTCGTGGGCCAGCTCTTCAGCCAGCACCCCGACGTCTTCTACCTGATGGAGCCCGGGTGGCACGTGTGGACCACCCTGTCGCAGGGGAGTGCGCCGGCGCTGCACATGGCGGTGCGCGACGTGGTGCGCTCGGTCTTCCTGTGCGACATGGACGTGTTCGACGCCTACCTGCCGTGGCGCCGCAACCTGTCGGACCTCTTCCAGTACGCGGTGAGCCGCGCGCTGTGCTCGCCCCCCGCCTGCAGCGCCTTCCCGCGCGGCGCCATCAGCAGCGAGGCGGTGTGCAAGCCGCTGTGCGCGCGGCAGCCCTTCAGCCTGGCCCAGGAGGCCTGCCGCGCCTACAGCCACGTGGTGCTCAAGGAGGTGCGCTTCTTCAACCTGCAGGTGCTCTACCAGCTGCTCAACGACCCGGCGCTCAACCTGCGCATCGTGCACCTGGTGCGCGACCCGCGGGCCGTGCTGCGCTCGCGTGAGCAGACCGCCAAGGCGCTGGCGCGCGACAACGGCATCGTCCTGGGCACCAACGGCACATGGGTGGAGGCCGACCCCGGCCTGCGCGTGGTGCGCGAGGTGTGCCGCAGCCACGTGCGCATCGCCGAGGCCGCCACGCAGAAGCCGCCGCCCTTCCTGCGAGGCCGCTACCGCCTGGTGCGTTTCGAGGACCTGGCGCGGGCGCCGCTGCCCGAGATCCGCGCGCTCTACGCCTTCGCGGGCCTGAGCCTCACGCCGCAGCTGCAGGCCTGGATCCACAACATCACGCACGGGTCCGGGCCTGGAGCGCGCCGCGAGGCCTTCAAGACCTCGTCCAGGGACGCGGTCAATGTCTCCCAGGCCTGGCGCCACGCGCTGCCCTTCGCCAAGATCCGCCACGTGCAGGAGCTGTGTGCCGGCGCGCTGCAGCTGCTGGGCTACCGGCCCGTCTCCTCCGAGAGGGAGCAGCGCGACCTTACCCTGGACCTGGTGCTGCCGCGCGGCCCTAGCAGCTTCAGCTGGGCGTCCTCCACGGATGCACACCCCTAACCTTAGCGGACGCCCCCAGTTGCGGCGCTGGGGAGGGAGCTGGGCACGCAGGGCGCACGCCGCTTATTGGAGGGGTCAGGAGCTTGGGAGTCCTCCTCTGTAGTATGAACGGACTGGGTCCCCAGAGCTCCGTGTTTCTTCTTGCTTCTGAATTTTCTTTGAGTCTTCCTCAGCAGCTGGGTTCCCATCGGGCTCACACTTCATGGAAAACTGTGTCTCCCCTTCCTCTGCGTGCAGGGGATAAGCTCAGACGACCTGGCTGCTCCTCCAGCGCTATCTTCCTAAGTTTCTTTTCCTATTGGATGCGTCATCCAGCAACTGAGAAGTGGTTCCCAGCCCTGCCTGGGAGTAGGGAGAGGCACTGTGGTGAGCTGGCCCGCATTCCCGACTTCGTTCCCCCATGTCCCACCACCACAATCAGAGCTGTTGGCCTTTATATTCACTTGGTACTTCAGACAAGATGCTTCTTACCTTGTGGTCTCCCCGTAGCCTCTCTCTGCCCCATCTCCTGAGAGCCCACATGCCCCATTGCCTTCCCAGTTAACCTGGGGTGAACGTTTGATTTGTCCTGATAGTAATGATCCTACCCACAGAAATAGACATCATAATTAAGTTTGTGATGCTAGACTTCACAGTCTGTAAAGTTTGACAAGCAAAACGCAAAACTGAAAGTACTTGTCCAAGGTCACATGATGAGGAGGAGGAAGAGAGGAGGGGGTTTTGCTCTGAGGCTGCATTTAGAAGGAGAGGGTCAATCAGGCTTGCAGAGACCTGTCTCCGTCCGGAAGGAGGGTCAGATTTTTCTATCCGTTTGTGTAATGAAAGAGCAAGCAGCCATGGCTGGGGCCACAGCCGCAGGATATAGGGGGTGATGACATGTCTGGGCCCAGAGTGCAGAACCTTAGAGAAGCTACCGGATAAGCACCGAGGGAGGCAGTGAGGGGGAAAGGTAGAGGGAGAAAGGAAGAAGGGGTGGAGGGAAGCTCCCAGAACCTCTGGGAAGAACAGGGATGCAGAACTGAGTGTGCACAAACTTTAGGGCATGGAGTTGGTGCCGGGACTGATAGTTTTCAGCACATGTGTGCCAGTTACCTCTGGAAAGGAGTGGGCTGTTGCCATCAATTGCCAGGAGGGATATTCTGGAGGTTGCTAGCTTCTTTTTTTCAGCCCAAGAGTGTGGCCTTGGATTGGTGGGACCTCAATTGTGGATCCCTATTTTTGCTGTGGAGCAGGTGGTCAATGGGGAGTCTGGTGTTTTCCACTTATTTTCTTGCAGGGAGCAGAGAGATACTGACCTTGAAGCTGAAGCTTCAGCACACCTCATTTAAGGATCTGTCAAGCTATAAAAACTTTAGGCCTCATAAAACCTCAATCTGCCCTTCATATTAACATGGGGGGGGATATTTAAAACCCTGAATGTATTGGGACACCTGAGTGGCTCAGTCAGTTAAGTGCCTGACTTTGGCTCAGGTCATGATCCCACGGTCCTAGGATGGAGCCCTGCACTGGGCTCCCTGCTCAGCAGGGAGTCTGCTTTTCCCTCTCCCTCTATCCCTCCCCCCGGCCCTGCTCAAGCTCTCTCTCAAGTAAATAAGAACTAAATAAATAAATAAATAATTGAAAGCCCTGAATTTATCACTGGGGACTCTGCAACTTAGAAACGCTTAGGCCACATAGCTTCATATAAGGGATACACCTCAAACTCACATCTCTGACTTCAGGGCTTACAGTTCTAACTGAACTGGGTTGCAGTAAAGGACCCCACTACAGGCTTGGAAAGCCAGATCATTTCCTCCAGTAATGACGGGTTCTCTAGGTGTGAGGGAGCGAGCCATCCCAGCATTTGGCTGGCATATGGCTGCACACATCTCCAGGGCTGGATGTTGAAGGGTATGGTAAGCAGTGACCTGGGGCACTGGGGCTCCTGCTGTTGACCACTTTTCCCCTTCCTGTCCCTCCCTGTGCTGGCCACTGGGGATAAAAGTAGCCTGCTAGTCTGCCCGGAAGGAGTATAATGTCAACTGGAGGAGTCAGCCTAGGAAGGTTCCTGGACAATGTAATATGTTCAGGCGAAGAGGGATAAGCAAGAAGTTCATGGTGCCAAGAACAGAAAGACACGGATCCCTTATGGGGTCCAGGAAGGCTTTTGGGATAGCTCAAAGCCCAGCCTGATCATGGCATCATACAAGTTTCATTTACCTCTGCTCTGGTTACAGGCTGTGTTAACGGCAACAATTAATGATCTTTGCTATATGATTTATCCATTCTGGCTGCACACCCAAAGTCCCAGAAAGGGGATGACTGGCTCCCAGAATTCACTCCCTGTATATAGTGAACTCAGGGTAAGCCTCTGGGTGAGTTCCCTGACATATCTGGTTCTAAGGAAGCCTGGGGGTGAACCCAGATCAAGTTTCAGGACAAGGACAGGCGGCACCCAACTCAGTGGTTCAATGAGTCAGGCCAGTTCAGACCCTGGGGACATACTGGGAGACCGAGGCGTCACAAACCTTGTTCTCGCGGGAAGTGCAGACCCAGAACAAATAGTCCCACAGATAAACATGCAAACATAGATGTCAATTGCGCTCTAAGAAGAAACAATAAAAGAAAACAATAAAAGAGGATGACCTACTTTAGTATGGGGAGTAAGGAAGACCTCTTTGGAGAGGAAGCATTGATTTGAATACATGAAGGATGGATAGGAGCTCATCAAACTCCTTGACAGGGGGAAGAAAAGGAGCCAGAGAAAGAGTGAGGGATGGGTCTCCTTGGAATCGGTTTTCTTGAAAAAATTAAAATTTAGGCTCATGAGATGAGAGAAGCCCCCAAGAGATGGTCAAGTTTGTGTGTCTCTAGTAAAGGAGAACTGCTCCATCAGAGAGCTTTCATGTCTTTAAAGGCGAAACTGCCAAATGACTCTAAAGGCGGAATAGCAACTTATACCCTCCAGAATGGGGTCAAGATGCCCTTCCCATCCCTCTCCTGCTCACCACCCCCACCCACCACCATCACCTGTGCAGGGTAAATCAGTCCTTTCATTTTTACCTGCCCGATGGAATATTATTCCGTGCTAAAAAGATATGAGCTATCAAGCCATGAAAAGACATGGAGGAAACTGAAACGCCTATTACTAAGTGAGGGGGGAAAAAAAGCCAATGTGAAGAAGTCACATCCTGTACAATTCCAACTCTATGACATTCTGGAAAAGGCAAAACCATGGAGACAGTAAGAAGATTAGTGGTTGCCAGGGGACAAGGAGGGGAGGGATGACTAGATGGAGCGAGGGTTTGTGGGGCAATGAAAATACTCTCCATGAGGGGCGCCTGGGTGGCTCAGTGGGTGAAGGCCTCTGCCTTCAGCTCAGGTCATGATCTTGGGTCCTGGGATCAGGTCCTGGGATGGAGCCCAGCATGGGGCTCTCAGCTTGGCAGGGAGCCTGCTTCCCCCCTCTCTCTTCCTGTCTCTCCAGCTACTTGTGATCTCTGTCAAATTTAAAAAAAAAAAAAAAATCTTAAAAAAAAAAATACTCTCAGGGCGCCTGGGTGGCTCAGTGGGTTAAAGCCTCTGCCTTCGGCTCAGGTCATGGTCTCAGGGTCCTGGGATCGAGCCCCGCATCGGGCTCTCTGCTCGGCAGGGAGCCTGCTTCCTCCCTCTCTCTCTGCCTGCCTCTCTGCCTACTTGTGATCTCTGTCTGTCAAATAAATAAATAAAATCTTTATTAAAAAAAATACTCTCCATGATCCTATAGTGTTGGGGATATGTCACTAACAATTTGTTCACAATCATGGAATGTACAACACCAAGAGCAAACTCTAAGGTACACTAGGGACTTTGGGTGATTATGATGTGTGCGTGTAGGTTCATTCTGGGTAAGAAATGTATCCCTCTGGTAAGTGATATTGATAATAGCCATGAATGCGGCCATGAATGTGTGAGGGCAGGTGGTGTATGGGACATCTCTGTACCTCTTTATTTTGTTATACACCTAAATCTCTTCTAAAGAAGTTAAGTCTTTTTTAAAAACTGCAATAAAAGCATTGGTAGCCTCAGGAGGGTGTGAGAGTCTGCTCAGAAGAGAGGGTTTGGTGGACCACTCAGAGACTGAAGCAATCACCTCAGATTGGACTTTGAACTTTCCTGGAATGGCAAGTCCTTCAGCCAATTGTGGGTTCTCTCCCTTAGGGTTATGACTGGAGAACCCGGTTGGCCCTATAGTTCTAGTGCCATTGTGATCCCAGTCTCCAAGTTCTCCACACCTCTATTCATTTGTTCAATACACATTATGAATTGAGTGTTGACCAGTGCACAAGCAGGGAATGATCATGGCATTAGGAATGTATGCACATAGGGGTGTGAATTGCAATTTTTAATGGGGTGATCAGAGTAGGTCTTATTGAGAAAGTGATATTTGAGCAAAGTCTTAAAGGAAGTGAGTCAGTTAATTAAGGGGTAATTACCGGTAGACTGTCCCAGAAGAGGAAAAAGACAATACAAAAATTGTTAAGGAGGGAACCCATTTGGTATATCGGAAGAACAGTAAGGGGCTAGTGGGTCTGTTGTGGTGGGCCAAAGGGAGATTGCTAGGAGGTGAGAAGGTAAGAGAGAGGGAGTCAGATCATGTAGGACTTTGTGGGCTTTGGTGAGGACTTGGGCTTTTACTTGGAATGAGATAGAGGGTGTCCAAGACCACAGTTGCTCTGTGGCACTCCTTTGTCAAACAAATAAATATGCATATAATATTATATATGAATATAATATGTCAGATATTTTAAAAATAATAGAAGTACCCAGTTAAATAAATATTTCATTATTATATCACTGCCTATATTAGTATTCTGAATTAGTGTATTGTCAGTTTTTCAAGTTTTTTTTTAACTGGATTTAAATTAATCACACTGTGGGGGGCACCTGACTGGCTCAGTTGAAAGAGCATGTGACTCTTGATCTTGGGGTTGTGAGTTCGAGCCCCACACTGGGTGTAGAGATTACTTACATAAAAAATAAACCTTAAAAAAATTAATCACACTGTGGCCTTCTTCTGCAACTTAGATTTTCTCCTCACCTTTATATTCCTGGGCCTCATAACGTTGCTTGCAGGTTTAAGTCATTTATTTCTACTACTCAACAGTATTTTGTTGAAAATTATATCACAGTTTTGTTTACCTATTCTTGTCTTGATGGACACCTGCCTTGTTTTCACTTGCTTGCTATTACCATGCTACTATGAACCATCTTCAATGACTCTCCTGCTACAAAGGCTATAGGATATTCATCTTGAAGTGACTTGCTAGATCATGGGAATCTTCATCCAACATTACTCCAGAATGGCTGTTGTCATTTTAGCCCTCCAGAGCTCCAGTTGCTCTACATCCTTACCAAACACTGACATTCTCAGACTTTAAAATTTTTAGTTATTGGGTGGTTGATAAATTATCTCATTGTGACTTCATTTTGTGTTTCACTGATTAATAATGAGGTTAAGCATCTTTTCCTATTTTTGTTGGCAATTTATATTCTCTCTTTGATGAAGTAACCTATTCAGGTCTTTTGTCTCTTTGTCATTTACTTTTTTTTTTTAAGATTTTATTTATTTATTTGACAGACAGAGATCACAAGTAGGCAGAGAAGCAGGTGGAGAGAGAGGAAGAAGCAGGCTCCCTGCTGAGCAGAGAGCTCAATGTGGGGTTCGATCCCAGGACCCTAGGATCATGACCTGAGCCGAAGGCAGAGGCCTTAACCCACTGAGCCACCCAGGCGCCCCTCTTTGTCATTTTCTTATTGAGTTTTAGGAGTGTTTTATAGATTCTGGATACCACTCCTTTGCCAGTTACATGTATTGCAAACATCTTTGCCCAGTTTATGGCTTGTCCTTTTGCTGTTTTTATAATAACACTTGAATAACATAAGTTCTTAAAGTAGTTAAATTTATCAAGCCTTTCCTTTATAACCTTTGCTTTTTCTATCTACTTTAAGAGCTCCTTCACTGTTATGAGGTCATAATGATATTCAGCATTTTCTTCTAAAAGTTTTATAGTTCTGCATCTCACTATAAGTGAAATAAGTGAGACAGGTGATGGAGTTCTGAAAAACAAACAAAAGATCTGGTTACTTCATAATTTTCTTGCAGGCTTCTGTTTTTCCTAGACTTAGTATTGCCTTTCAGTTTTTTCACATTAAGAGAAGAAATAGGTACCTTCTTTACCCTGTCCTTAAAAAGTGGAGCTTCTTAACCATTTTGTCCATAGCTTGAAATCAATTACGCTATTTTTCCTGAAGACACTCTTCTTTCTGTTCTAATCTGGTTAGGTGGCTGTTAGGACTTGTGCACAGAAGTCAGGCTAACACTCCTGGTTAAATCCATCATTTCTTTCACTGCACATCTTTCTCTTTCTTGGTTATCACTCCTTAACTTCACAGGAGGACAAACTCAACTTTCTTAGGAAGAACATATAAAACATACATTTTCTGAGTCCTGCAAGTATAAATGTCTTTTTTAAAAAGATTTTATTTATTTGACAGAGAGGGGGAGAGAGAGAGAGACACACAGAGAGAGAGAGGCAGACAGACAGAGAGGACTAGCAGGGGGAGCAGGAAAAGTAGAGGGAGAAGCAGCCTCCCTACTGAGCAGGGAGCCTTACACGGCACTCCATCCCAGGACCCTGGGACCATGACCTGAGTGGAAAGCAGGTGCTTAACTGACTGAGCCACCTGGGCTCCCTAAATGTCTTTTTTTTTTCAACCTTTCAATTTGAAATTAGACTGGGGATAGAACCGTAAATTCAAAATAATGTTCCCTAATGTGACACACAATTGATTGTCATATAACCCTAAATTAAGTGGTTTCTTCTACTTCTTACACACGGGTGGTCTGGGAAATGTACCAAAAGATAGTATTATTAAATATTTCATGACTTTTTTATGCTTACTATTGCTATTTGAGATAGGTTTCTTGGGTGATGCAAAATCGCAGTTGCAGTGTTGAGGCATGGACATTAGCTCTCAAAAAAAGTCTTCAGGGGCACCTGGGTGGCTCAGTGGGTTAAGCCTCTGCCTTTGGCTCAGGTCATGATCTCAGGGTTCTGGGATTCCCACATAGGCCCTCTGCTCAGTGGGGAGGCTGTTTCCTCTCTCTCTGCCTGCCTCTCTGCCTACTTGTGATCTCTGTCTGTCAAATAAAATCTTAAATTAACAACAACAAAGTCTTCAAGAGGGAACTCTAATAAACAATTTGCTAATGTTCTTGAGTTAATATTACGTAAAATACTATGAATTTTCCACGCAATGCTTAATATTACGTAAAATACTATGAATTTTGCACAGAACGTTTAATTTAAAGTGTTTAAGTTTTCAAAAAAATCGCTTCCCCTCCAATTGTTGAAGGTACTGCTGTCTTCCAGATCCCTTTTAAATCTGCACGTCAGAAGGGGGTAGGAGAAGAGTAAATGAAGCAAGATGGGATTGGGAGGGAGATAAAACCATAAGCGACTCTTAATCTCACAAAACAAACTGAGGGTTGCTGGGGGGAGGGGGTTAGGGGGGTGGGGTTATTATGGACATTGGGGAGGGTATGTGCTATGGCGAGTGCTGTGAAGTGTGTAAACCTGGCGATTCACAGACCTGTACCCCTGGGGAAAAAAATATATGTTTATAAAAAATAAAATTTAAAAAAAAAAATCTGCACGTCAGGTCTGGTGGGTATGCAATTCCCCTACTTTCTTGGAGGTGGCGCTGCAGAGAAGGGCAGAGAAGAGCTCACCCTCCTGGACAGGAGAGACTTGTCCAGTAGGGGGCGTAGCCCGTGGGTGCCACTGGAGAGCCGTGCGCAACGTCAGGGGGCGGGAACAACTCTCGCCCCGCCCCTGCCATCTGCGGAGCCCTGTGATTGGAGGAAGGGCCATCACTTGGCCGCGCGGCTGGGGTGGGAGGAAGAGGGCCCCATTCCAGGGTGAAGCTGAGGCGGCGGAGGTACGGGTAGCGCTTCGGTCCGTGAGTGCGAGCGAACCTCGGCGGCAGTTTGGACGCTCTCTCCATCTTTCTGCAGTGAATGGCGGCGGGATGGAGCACGAGGGGAGCGGCGGCAGCGGGGGGTCGGCCGGGCTCCTACAGCAGATCCTCAGCCTGAAGCTTGTGCCACGGGTGGGCAACGGGACCCTGTGCCCCAACTCCACTTCTCTCTGCTCCTTCCCAGGTACCGGCCCCGCCCCGTGCCGCGCTTGCGCACTGTGCGTTTTGGCGTCGCCGCCCGGCAGGGGGGCGCCCCTTCCCCAGCGGGCGAGCGGGCGAGCTAGCGGGCGGGTGGCTTCTGCGGCCGGCGGTCCCACCTTCCCGGGGCTGTTTCCCTCCTGGAAGGAGGTTCCCGCTCTCTCGGCGGGGAGCTGGGGAATATGGCCCTTCCCCCGTCGCTTCCTAGCCGGCACCTCGGGCCAGTCACTGCGACCCCGCGCTGGGGGCCAGAGCTGAGGGAGCGGCGGGGAGTGGACTGGTCAGTGGAGGGAGCTCGACGGCCACTCGGACTGATCTTGCCTTTGGAGTTTCCTGACGCCCCAGGGTCGGACTGGGACTCGAAGGAGCCCCGGAAGCGGTGGCCCCTCCTTGTTTGGGGCGTGAGGCGCCTGGCCCCTGCGGTCCGCCCGGCCGCGCGGCTCTCCGCCGCTCTCGCAGCTCAGACGCCGAACGGTCCCCGCCGGGCTGAGGGGCCGAACGCAGCGCTGCGGCTCCGACGGGGTATGGTCTCGCCCAGCCCCCGGCACCCCCAGGTTGTCTGCGGTTCGCTCGCACCTGCGTCCAAATGCGCCCACTCCGCCAGCTTCTCTTTCTAGGAATCACTTTCTGAGACCTGTTGCCGAGTTCCCCACTCATGCGTTCGAGCTCTTTGACACAGGTTCCTTATCACTTCTTAACGGCCACGGGAGCTCCTGCTGGGTCTCATGTAAGGGTTTTTCAAAATTATAATACAAGGTAGAAAGCTCTGCATGCTCAGAAAAATGGGAGGAAGAGAAATTATTTGGGAAGCTGATAAAGGCTTTGAGGGGAGGGCACAGTTCTGTGTTGGACTTTTAAAGGCAAGAAGACATCACGGTGGCGATTGAAGGGTGAGGTTGGGCTGCCCAGCAAAGCTGACTGGTACCTTGACTTGGTAAACAATTTGAGAGCTGGGCCTGAGACCTGGGCTTGAGACCTGCAAAGGAGGGACGATTGGATTACTGACTTCGGTCATAAACAAGGCACCTGTGATTTCTCATCCACTGGGAAGCGACTGCCAGGCGCCATTCAGTGGACACCCGGGACTTGCTGTGTATTTTACCTGCCTAGTATTTTCCCCGGACAGCTGGTAATAACCGTGTTGGTGTAGATGCAGATGTTAGTTTAGAGCCTAAAATGGGGCGCTCGTGTGGCTCAGTGGGTTAAGCCTCTGCCTTCGGCTCAGGTCATGATCTCAGGGTCCTGGGATGGAGACCCACATCGGGCTCTCTGCTCAGCGAGGAGCCTGCTTCCCCCCAACCTCTGTCTACTTGTGATCTCTGTCAAATAAGTAAACAAATAAAATCTTTAAAAAAAAAAAAAAAAAAGAACTATACCTAAAATGATGATCTGGCAACTCTCATTGTTTCAAAAGCTACTAAGATCACATTTGACATTGACAACAGAAATATATGGCATTCTGCAGACACTGTTTAAAAAATGAAGTGTTCATGCAGTCTGGAGATACTACTGGACCAGATTAGTCTGTTGTTGCTTCCTTATTTTCCTCCCAACTCTTTATTTTGAAATTTTCAAACATACTGAAAAATGGAAGTGCTACTATGAGCATATATCCTTTACTTAGAGTCATTTTTAGTATTTTTATTCTTTTGAATCTCTGTGCATATATATGCATATTTGTGTGTACTATGTGTTGTGCATATATATGCATATTTTTGTGTGTATTGTGTGTGTATATATATATATATATATATATACATACATATGTAACATTTTTACTTTCTGCAGAGCCATTTGAAAGGAAGTTATCGAAGTGATGGCACCTGACTCCCAATACTTCAGCATGTATCTTTTAGAATGAGTCCACTTTCTGTCATAGCCAAAAAAACCTTTATCACACCCAGGAAATTTAACAATAGGATCATGGTGTCTGGCATCACCTGACTGGCTCAGTAGGTGAGCATGTGACTCACTCCAGGGTTTTGAGTTCAAGCCCCATGTTGGTTATGGAGCCTACTTAAAATTAAAAAAAAAAAAAAAAAAAGGAATAACGTTGTCTAATGTACAGGCCTTATTTGAATTTTCTAGTTGTCTGAATAATGTCTTTTATAGCTTTTTTTTTTTTTACACAAAAAAACCCAGATCTAATCAAGGATCACACACTGCTTTTATTTATTTATTTATTTTTTTAAGATTTTATTTATGTATTTGACAGAGAGGAAGAGAGAGAGAGCAGAGGCAGGAAGAGCTGTAGGCAGAGGGAGAGGGAGAAGCAGGCTCTCTCTCTCTCCAATTAAAAAAAAAAATCTTTAAAATACCCTGTGGTTCATCCCTATCAGGAAGCTTAGAATTGATTTTTTTTTTTTTTATCTGCATTTGCAGTTTAGCCATTTAGATTCTGACTAACCCTCCTTATTCCAAGATGTTTAGATTTCTTTTGTTGTTGTCATCATTTTTTTGGTAAATCTGATTGCCAAGAAAGGCAGAGCTTTCCATTTATCAGGAATGACATTAACTCTCTGAAGGTATGAATTTTATGAATATCAATGTAAAAGTATGTGTATTATAATTAAACCTACTTATGTTCGGTTGCACCATTGCTAGAGTCAAGAATGGGTCAACAGTTAAAGAAATGAGTCACAATTGGAGCAGTTACTTATTCATTCACTCAAAAAATATTTGCTCAATGTCTGTTGCCTGCCTTTTGTTTTCTAGGTACCACGTAAGGATGTGGTAGGGAACAAAATAAAGGACCTTTCATTCTGATGGGGATAGAGAGAAAATAAAATTAAAAGTATGGAAAGGAATAACTGGTGGTGTGTAAGACCGTAGGGCGGGCAGGCAGTGGCCTTTGTGTGTCAGGGTTGGAATGCTGTTTTATTTCTGTTTGTTTTTTAAGTAACGTATTTATTTATTTGACAGAAAGAGACACAACGAGAGAGGGAACACAAGCAGGGGGAGTAGAAGAGGGAGAAGCAGGCTTCCCACCAAGCAGTGAGCCTGATAATGGGACCTGATCTCAGGACCTGGGATCATGACCTGAACGGAAGGCAGACACTTAACTTCTGAGCCACCCAGGCTCCCGTGTTTTTGTTTTTTAAAGAATTCATTTATTTGTTAGAGAGAGAGAGAATACAAGTGCACACCTGCCCAAGCAGGGGGAGGGGCAGGCAGAAGGAGGAATAGGCTCCCTGCTGGGCAAGGAACCTGATTCAGGACAGAGTCCCAGGACCCTGCAATTGTGACCCGAGCCAAAGGCAGAGGCTCAGCTGGCTGAGCCACCCGGGCTTCCTAGTGGAATGCTGTTTTCCTTAAGATCACAAGGAAGCTCTTAACAATGATGCCACCGGAGCTGAAATCTAAAGTACGGGAGGAACGAGACACACAGCTATTGGGAGAAGGACATTCTGGGCAAAGGCACAGCAGGTTCAGAGCCCTGGAACGTGAGTTTGCTTAGGAGACATAAAGAAGGACAGCAAGGAGGATGGGACCGTGCAGGCAAAGCAGGGAGGAGGAGGTAAGGTCAGATTCCAGAGGGTAGTGTTGGAGGATTTTGATCAGAGGAGGGATGATCTGATGGACTTTTTCTTTTAAATGTACAATTCAGGGGCGCCTGGGTGGCTCAGTGGGTTAAGCCTCTGCCTTCAGCTCAGGTCATGATCTCAGGGTCCTGGGATCGAGCCCCACATTGGGCTCTCTGCTCGGCAGGCAGCCTGCTTTCTCCTCTCTCTCTCTGCCTGCCTCTCTGCCTACTGTGATCTCTGTCAAATAAATAAATAAAATCTTAAAAAAAAATAAATAAGTGTACAATTCAAAGATTTTTAGCCTCCACAGAGTTTGCAGCCATCACCACAAGCAACTTTAGAATATTTTATCACCAACAAGAAAACCTCATCCTCATTAGCTTTGTGTGGAGAAGGGCAGATCAGGACAGAGAAGGTCTAGCTAGGCTGGGGACCAAGAGACTACTGTGGGGGGAAAGGCCAGACAGGCACACGCAGAAGCCAGGGATGAGCAAGCAGTCAGGCAGGCGTGTCAGGAGAGAGGTGGCAGCCCACGGTGGGTGACCCCGGTGGGCAGGTTGTCATTGTTAGGGTGGAGTGGAAGGGTCTCTAGGAAATTAACTCCCTGCTTTCCTTCACTGTTACATGATTCCCCCATTCACGGTACTCCGACAGCAGTTTTATGGGTTCTTTACATCGAGCGATCCTGTGACACCGTTTGGGTGCCGTGCCCTGCAGTTCGGTTCAGTTCCTACACTGTCTCCCTGGAGTTAGCACCAGATCTCCCAGGTTAAGGGATCAGTTTCCCCACTTGAGATGCCAGTCAGAAGTCCAGGTTGTCGTGTGTGCTCCTGACCAGCTGGCTAGGAGTTGGTGATAGCTACGACCCCCTTCCTCGGTTCAGTTAATTTCTAGAGCAACTCACAGAACTCAGGAAAACCGTTTACCTACTAGATCGCTGGTTTATTACGTAGGATATTAAAGGTTACAGATGAGCACCAGATAAAGATATATGTAGGGCGAAGTTCAAAAGGGAATTTGAACAAAGGAGCTTCTGTCCCTGTGGAGTTGGGGGAGTGCCACCCTCCCAGCACATAGGTGTAGTCACCAAACCCAGAAGCCTCCAAACGCCATGCATTCAGGGTTTTATGGAGGCTTCATCACGTACGCGTGATTGATTATTAACTCTACTTCCAGCCCTTCTCCCTGCTCCAGAGAATGCGGGGTGGGCCTGAAATTTCCATGCTTATAATCATGGCTCTCTGGTGACCAGCCTCCATCCTGGAGCCCACCGAGAGCTGCCTCATGAGAACGAAATTGGTGTTGGAAATTCCAAGGGATTTAGTTCTGTATCAGCAACCCGGGTCAAAGACTAAATATTAGAACAAAAGATTTTCCTGAAGATTTAATTTAGATAGATCACAGATGCAAGTGGGGGAGAGGGCAGGAGGAGAGAGGGAATCTTAAGCGGCCTCCCTGCTGA